GGTCAGGAGTTCAAGACCATCCTGGCCAAGATAGTGAAAGCTCATCTCTACTAAAAAAACAAAAAACAAAACAAAAAAAAATTATCCAGGCACGGTGGCAGGAGGCTGTAATACCAGCTACTTGGGAGGCTGAGGCAGGAGAATCATTTGAACCAGTGCAGCAGAGCCTGCAGTGAGCTGAGATTGAGCCACTGCACTCCAGCCTGGGTGGCAGAATGAGACGCCATCTCAAAAAACAAACAAAAAATCACTTCATAAATGTTATCTTTCTAATCTTTCTGGCTAATAAAGTTTTAATTTATTTTATTCTATTTTGAGACATGATGTCACTACAACACCCAGGCTGGAAGAAGGGATTTTTTTAAAACCCAAAAAGCACTAATCCAAAAATGAAAGACTGATAACTTGAGAACATATGTTCATAAAAAAGCAATGCCATAGATAATGTAGAACAGTAACCTGAAGAGTGGGAAAAGTTACTGCAACACACAGAACGGAGTAAGGACGAGAATAAAGCATTCCTACAAACAAACCCCAAGGGAAGAGGAGAGCAATATACTTAAAATACATGAGTAGGCATTTCAGAGGAGAGTATGTATAACTCTGACAAGAGAGAGAAAGTTTCTCTAATTTATAATCAGGGAATGCAAAATGGGACCACAAATAAGAAAATATTAAGAAAATTTTTGGCCAGGCGCGGTGGCTCAAGCCTGTAATCCCAGCACTTTGGGAGGCCGGGGCAGGTGGATCACGAGGTCAAGAGATCGAGACCATCCTGGTCAACATGGTGAAACCCCGTCTCTACTAAAAATACAAAAAATTAGCTGGGCATGGTGGTGCGTGCCTGTAATCCCAGCTACTCAGGAGGCTGAGGCAGGAGAATTGCCTGAACCCAGGAGGCGGAGGTTGCGGTGAGCCGAGATCGCGCCATTGCACTCCAGCCTGGGTAACATGAGTGAAACTCCGTCTCAAAAAAAAAAAAAAAAAAAAAAAAGAAAATTTTTAGTACCTACTGTTGAGAATAACAGGACCACTTGGACACCACTGTAAGCATGTACATCGTCAAATACTTGGAAAACAATCTGGTTCCACATATATTAGGTTGCCCAGGTACACACCTGGCCTACAGATATTCTTACACAGCGCTCCAGGAAGCATGTGTAAAAATGTCCCTAGTTTGCAACAGCAGAACCTTGGGAATAATCTGACAGGATAGTGGTTAAGCAAAGTGTGACATACTCATAGCTGTGAAGTCACAACGTCGATGAACTTTGCGCAGCACGTATGCAGCAACACCTCACAACGTGGTAATGATAAACGATGAGCAGCAATCTCAAGCCTCAGGGAATATGAATTTTATGAAATCTCCTTTAAAAATACAAAAATAAGAAAGTTAAATGATATAAAAAACAAAATCGGTCGGGCGCTGTGGCTGACGCCTGTAATCCCAGCACTTTGGGAGGCCGAGGTGGGCGGATCACCTGAGGTCGGGAGTTCGAGACCAGCCTGACCAGCATGGAAAAACCTCGTCTGTACTAAAAATGCAGAAAAGTAGCCGGGCGTGGTGGCGGTGCCTGAAATCCCAGCTACTCGGGAGGCTGAGGCAGGAGAATCGCTCGAACCTGGGAGACGGAGGTTGCAGTGAGCCGAGATCGCTCCATTGCACCGCAGCCTCGGCAACGAGAGAGAAACTCCGTCTCAGAAAAAGAAAAGAAAATCACAGGGAACATTCAAAGCAAAATGCAGGTCAGCGGCCACCCCCAGAGGGAGGCGCTGGGATGCGGGCGCGTCTGTAAACGCACCTGGAATGAGCTGCTGTTTGGGGCTGGGAGCGGGCGGTGTCCACGTCACCACTGGGTCACCCGCAGGCCCCGCGTGTTTTCCCGCGGCCGCTCTCTGGCGCCCCCTGGTGGGCGGGCCCGGGCGTGCGGGGTCCCCGGACCTCAGGGAGCCGCAGCCCGCGGACCCCGGAGGCGCCTCCCCGGCCGGGCTGCGCTTCGCGGCGGGACGCGGCGTCGTTGGCTCCGGAGCCGCCACTGCCCGTCAGCGTCCGGCGGCGCCGGGCTCGGGCGGAGGCTTCGATCCTGCAGCGGCCCGGCCCGCCCTTTGGACCCGGCGAGCCTGTGTTCGCTGCCCCTGCGTGACGTGGAAACGTGTTCGGCTTTTGACGAGGTCATTGTCTCGTGAAGCGCGGCGCCGGCCTTTGGATCCCGGCCTGGCGCCTGTCTGCCCCGCGGTCCCGGGATCCGCGCTCGGACGGTCCTGCGGCGCTGCTGAGATGCGCCCTGCTTCCTGCTGGCCAGTGTGGACGGAGGGGAGGCCAGCTCGCGGTCAGCCCGAAAACGTTTTGCCACGTGATCTGCCACTGAAGGGAACTGGCTATGGAGGGAGGTCAAGTGGCCCAGGGAGGTCGCGTTCCAGGTCTGCCCCCTCGTGTGGCTCACCCTCTCCTCGTCCAACTGGGTCCTGAGGTGGAAGCTCTTGTGTGTCTAGGGGCAGGAATCCGAGGAAGACAAGATAATGGTACAGGAGCAACAGGCAAAGGGACTGGTACAACACAGGCTTGAAGGCAAATGATCACTCCATAGGTGGCTGTCAATATGAATGCCCGAGATAAAAATTAATTTATAAAACAGAAAGTATATTTGAACAAATTTAAAACTAATATTCTAAAACTAAAATTCCCGAGATTTGAGGTAGATTGTATATTCAAGAGAAGTAGAGAAGGAAAGTGTGCTAAAGGTCTCTTCTTGTTCAGATCAGAAGACACTGACAAATTCTTCAAGTGTATTAAAAAAACTATAAGTCTATATGTACTTTCAGATTCAGGGGTAACCACTGGTAGAATAACAACAGGGGATCAAGATTCCAAATCATCAAACGAAAAAAAGAAAAAAAAATGATCATTTTAAACATAGAGAAAGGAAACACACACACACACACAAACACACACATATGCATGCACACGCCCATACGCACATACCCACACATGCACACCTGCACACACATGGACACACACATGCACACACATACATCATGACTGCCAAATTTAGTGATCATGATAAATATGACTGTTTAATTCTCCTATTAAAAGGAAAAACTTTCTGTTTGTGTCAAACCTATAGAATGTTTACAGGACACCTATCAAGAACAAAATGACATTAAGATACTTTAAATACTATGATGAACAAAGATAGACCAGGGAAATACTACAAAAAGCAAACACATGTAGCCACAATTATCAGAGGGGACAAAAAGATGTTTATATAACAGTAAAAGGTACAATTAGAAGATTGTCAATTTAATGTATATTGAAAATAACTGAGTAGATTTTTAAAATAAAGAATAATTTAATAAAACATGGTTATAGTGGGAGGAATCAAAGCATCTTACCTAGAGATGACAAGATCATATATATTTTTTTCTAAAGGCAACTTTTAAATTAAAAACAATTGATGGGCAAAGTCTTTTAGAAAACATTCTCTAAATTCCAAAGGCTATACAGGAAAAGTCTGAAAATTTTAACTGTATAAAAATCTAATTTTCTACATGGGAAATCAAACAAGAGACTGGGAGTAACTTTCAAACCATGAAACATAAAAACAACTACTATTTATTTGATAGACAGAGTCCTTAAAATCTGAGAGGAAATATGTAAAATGCCAATATGAAAAGAGAAGGAATTGTTTCATTAAAAAAAACAAGTAAATAATCAATAGATGAAAAGATGCTTTCCTTCTTTTTTAACCAGAGAAATGCAAAGTAAAGTAATGACATATGAATTTTCAGTTATCAGTGGTTGACAGTATCCAATGTTGGAAAAGATATGTAGCAATTGGCATTCCCATACTACTGTGGGGGGGGGTGGTTTAAAGTGTTTCGACCTTCTGAGGAAGCAATTTTATCTCTCTGTTAACATCTTAGGTCCACATATCCAGTGATCTAACCATCCCACTCCCACAAAACTGACTTACAGAGATACATGCATGTCTGAACAAAAATGCATCCATAGGGTACCATTGTGGCACCTTTTGTAACATAAATAATTGGGGAAACCATTTGAATTTTTTGTCAACTCAAAATAGACAAATTGTGAACTATTCATAAAATGTAGTATGCACTGTATGTTTATACAAATTGTTTTAAAGTTTGGAAGAATACACAGAATACTTTTAACCAGGCTATAGTACATGCTATTATTAGTAATCAAATCCCACTCCTAATTCCCTTAATCTTTTAACACATTCACGTAAAGTCTTTCCACTTTCCAGCCTCTCTTGCACATAGGAGTGGTGACATTCTAGCCAAAAATTTAAAAAATCTCAGATTTTCTTAAAGTTTCTTGGAAAGCTCTTATTTTCTTGACGAATAGGGTAGACAAAAGAAGCACTTCCAGAATGGCAGGATAAGAAGCTCTGAAAATCTGTTTCACCAGAATGGCAATGTGAATACCAACAAAATTATTGAAAAAATGTGAATGGAGCCTTAGAGACCTGTGGGACATAATCAAGAGTATCTACACAGGCACAGTGGGAATCTCAGAAAGAGAGAAAATAGGGGGACAAAAATACTATTTGAAGAAATAATGGCTCAAAATTCCCCAAATTTGATGAAAAAGATTCATCTACATATCCAAAACCTTAACCAACTCAAAAAAGAATAAATGAAAGGAGAGCCACATCTGCACACACCATAGTCAATCAAAGGGAAAGAGGGGGTCCTGGAAACAGCAATAGTGAGATGAGGTATTAGGTAAGTCAGCCCTCAAGAAAATAACAGCTCCTGTTCACCAGAAGCCATGGGGCCAGCAGTCAGCGAGATGACAGAGTAAGGGCACTGAAGGAAAACAGCCAACCAAGAATTCTGTATCCAGAAAATACACTTCCAAAAAGAATGAAGTATTACAGCTCTTTTAGAATTTGTCTAGCACATTTTCTGGTACCCTCCCACATTCATTAATTAATTAAAATTTAAAATATATCTTAGCCTTTTGGCTGAGATCAAATGTCAAAAAGAAAGAGAAAATAAGACATTCTCAGATAAAACTGAAAGAATTCGTAAGCCTGTCATAAGAAACACTAAAGGAAGTCTCTTGGGCCAAAATAAAAGAATACTAGTAAGTCAAATCCACATTATATACAGAATTAAAGTAAGTGCAAAAGAAGTATTTTAGTAGGTATAAAATAAAAACTACAAATAATAAAAAGAGAATTAGCAGAGGATTTTTCCTTCTTAATGGGGTTTAAAATATGGAAGCTGCCTTTGTAGGGTAAATTTGGGACCCTCAGTTTTCACTTCATCCACTTCTGTGTTGTTTGCATTTGTTAAAAGGAGATATTTTACTTTCCCGATCAAAATTATCTTTCTAATCTTTATAAACAATTATTCAATTCCAATAAATCTTCTCTATATTGCTTTACTAGTGAGTTCTATCAAAATTTCAAAGCACAGACAATTCCCCTACAATATAAAGTATTCCCAGGCACACAGAAGACGGGAGTTTTGCAATGGTTTCTAGAATAGTGCAATTTTTATGCAAGAACCTAATATAACACAAAAGCTATAGCCCAATTTTATTTGCAGGTATAGATGCGAAATTACCAAAAATACTATTAACAAGTTGAATCCTTAGGGCGTTAAAAGAGTATCACTCCATGAAAGAGTTGGTTGTGATGTGGAACTATGAAGTACTTTTATGATAAAATGTAAAAGTATATGGTGCTTTTATGGTACAGTGTGAGACAGTGTTTTTATCTAGCCTCACACTAGCAGGTCTAAGGAGAAAAATCATAGAATTGTTTCAATCAAAAAGACATTTCATTAACCCAACTCTCATCCCTGATAAACACTGTTAGTTATCTAGAGAAAGAAGAAAATTGTCCCAATACGTTTACCTCTTTGCCACACCCAGCCAACAGCAGATGTGATGAAAGCCTGAAGAGCTCCCTGCCACAGGCTCTCTGTCTTCCTGATTGTCTAACCTTGTCCTGGAAGGTCCTGCCAATGGGATAGATGCCAAACAAATAAAAGCCCTGGCTTCTGAAAAGAAGTACACAGAAATGTCATTATTTTCAAACGACATATGTTCCTGTATTTAAAATCTGATGTTGGTTGGGCATCTAACAATATTATGGCCAGAGGACTCAGACCATAGCTGCATCCCTGTGAGGCACAGACAGTCCAGGGCACGTGGGCCCTGCCCTGCCCAGGATGTGCACACTAAGGTAAGCTGCACAGACAATGCTCTCCTCAGCCCAGGGGAGCCAGGGGCCCGCTCTGCTTCCCCACTCTGATGCTTCCTGTTCTCATCCCACCAAAGCCAAGGCTTCAATTCTAGTCTGCCAGGAGCAGACTCTGGCCTTCTTGAGCACTAGGAAAAGGAACCAGTAACCAGGGAAATTTGTGGACCCCAATGGGTGTCCGTCCCCGCCAGGCCTGGCTGGGTCCACAACAGGAGGACAGCGTGCAGGGGTTTGGACACTCAGCTTCTGCCCCAGGAATTGTCCCTGCCACCTCACACTGGCCACTGGAAAGGAAAGACAGGAGGTGGGGGCGTGCTAACCCACCCACCCAGGCGGTCGAATCTACATTGTCAGTTCTTACCTTGAGGGGTGAAAAAAGTGGAGGGAGGCAAAGGCCCCTGAAGCTTCTGCCAGAGGCCAATGCCCCTTCTTGGTTTAGGAGAGGTGCAGTGTTAAGCGCAGCACAGCCAGTGACTTGCTTATGTGGCTAATAAACTGTCAAGAGAAAAACTGGGTTAGAATGCCACAGATAGTATGTAGTCTCATTTTTATATAAATGAAAGTGGAGAATGGCATAACTGAAAGTCCACAAGTAATTTGGTTGGACTGTAAGTGACTTTTATTTTCTTCATTTCTTATCGTATTTTCTATTATACGTAAAGATTCATTGCTAATATAAAAGGATAAAATTGCAACCTGTGAATTAAGAACTTCCATATATTGCCAGTTAGAAGACAGAATGAAAACATTCTCTTCATTCTAACCATGCACACAGAAAAGCTCCAGAAAATACCTATAGACTACCTTAACAGAAGGTGGGAGAGGGCCTGCGTGAAGAAAGTAATTAAAACATGAAAGAAGCAGCTAGTAAATGTGGGGCTCCACTGTGCCCCTGGATCAGCAAAGATATGTTTAAAATTGTCTTCCAGATTTAACCTAATGTAAAACAAATCCAATAAAACCCTAATGTAATTTTTTAAAGAATTTGAATTTAAAATCTTTCCAAATAATATTTTTTCTTAATTTTCTACAGCAAGAATATGTAACTTTTTTTTTTTTAAATAATCAGAGATTAACTTTCTCTTCCTTTTTTTTTTTTTCTTCCATGGAATTTTCCAGTTAATTTGACAAAGTGAAATAGAATTCAGATGTTGAATTTTCCTTCTGGCCCCATTCATGTGGCAGGTGGTGATTCAGGTACTACTGGGGGCTGCTTCTGGGTCTGGAAGCAGGAAAGAGGGAGCAGGCCAGCAGACCCCGCCGTGCTGGGGTCGAAGCCAGGAGGCTGGGAGAATGCTCAGATCAAGACCAGCCAGACCTCCAGCCCCCAACCCTGCTCTTCCTAGAGAGGGAACATGCCACTTTCTGTATATGCTGAACTCGGAGCTCTGGAGACAGGGAGGGTGGAGGAAAGACAGCAGAGGTGAGGCTGGGAGACGGGATTTCAGTGGGTCTCTTCCCCCTTCCTGGTCTCAGAACATCCACCCCAGCGGGACAGCAGAGGGGTGTCTGAGTGTTTGACTTCCAGACAAACCTCCTCATCAGACATCAAGAGGCTGCTGCACCAGGAGGGCTGGTACCCTGCCTAGAGGTGGTCAGCATGTGGTTGGTGTTGCATTACATAGGCCCTACTCCAAACAAATTCATGGCAATGTGGCTGGAGTTCCCCTTTGTCCAACCAGTGCCAAAGGTCAGGACAGTTCCTCACTCCACATTCACCCCCAGCCCAGGGACACAGGCTGGCCACCTGTTCCTGGATGTGTTTGCCAGCACAGCACCAGGTGTCAGTAACCCGGGTGCTGACATGGCCCAGCTCCAACCTCACCAGGTCACGGGATGGAACCTCGGGGGGCCACTACTGAGGGAATCAGCCTTTGAAATGATGACCAACAGCGGGTAATAATAAACTAATAATTTGGGGTAGACGAGAAGGAAGATGGCATTGGTTGGTGGGTCACCCTCCTTCTCAAAACACAGTATAAAAAGCCCTGCGTTTCTGCGGGATTGTCCTCCCAGGCTGGCAGCCGGCTTCCAGCGGCACCATGTCTGCCCTTGGCATCACTGTGGCCCTGCTGGTGTGGGCGGCCATTCTCCTGCTGGTATCCATCTGGAGGCAGGTGCACAGCAGCTGGAATCTGCCCCCAGGCCCTTTCCCACTTCCCATCGTCGGGAATCACTTCCACTTGGAATTGAAGAATATCCCCAAGTCCTTCACCCAGGTAAGAGAAATATTGTTGATTTTAGGGAGAATAACTCAGAAATTGGATCTGATATGTGTGCATTCAACTCATTTGCAGACAAACTGTGGTTGTTCAATACCAGCCTGCTAAGGATTAACTGAATTGATAGCATCCTGGAGTGACACTCAAAACGTGTTGCTCAGCCGGAGCCCTGAGCCCGCATGGCAGGCTCTGGAGCCCCCCACCACCCCCGTGCCTGTGCCTCGTCTCGGGGCTGATGATGCGGAGGCCGGCGAGGCCGGGCAGCTGCGACACCAGGATAACCGCGCTCACGGCCGGATGCGCACTGGCTGGGCGTCAGCCCGCGTTTGCCGAAGCACGAGTTGAAACGTGAAGTGTTGGGCCGGTGCGTGTGGCACCAATATCTGCCGCCTACGACAGTCGTGAACACTGAATGGGCTTACAAACCTAAAAATTAAATGAGCTGATAACGCCGCCAGCGCAGAGCCGGCGCTGGGTGTTCGCGCGTTGGAGTGTGCGCTCTGAGCGGCGCGGGCTGGCGCCGGGTCCCGAAACTTGACTCTGGAAGCAAGCGACGGGGTGGTGGGTGGGCGAGCCTTAGGGAAGGGACTTGAGGACCCAGAGACCGTGGAGTTGACCGAGTCCAGGCTGGTGCGGAGCGGAACGGCTAGGGCTGCGTGGGCGGCCCGGTGCGCAGGTGTGCCAGTCCCGCGCGCCCCGCAGACGCAGCAGCCCTTTGTGGGGAAGGTAACCCCCACATTGGGCTGGACAAAGGCTGCCTTTCCCCACGCGCCCCCCGGTTCTCTGGAGCAATGGCAATGGCCGCGCGGCAGGGGCGTGACTTCCAGCCGCGCCGCGGGCCTCACCTGCAGCCTCTGTCTCCGCAGCTGGCCGAGCGCTTCGGGCCGGTGTTCACGCTGTACCTGGGCCAGCGGCGCGTGGTGGTGATGCACGGCTACAAGGCCGTGAGGGAAGCGCTGCTGGACTACAAGAGCGAGTTCTCGGGCCGAGGCGAAATCCCCGCGTTCCAGGCGCACAAGGACAGGGGTGAGTCCGCGTCCCTGGCACGGGGGGGGGGGGGCGCACAACACGCCCCGGGACAGTTAACAGGCGCCAGCCACGTCGGCGCCGGCCAAATGCTAAAGTCACCGCAATATGACAGTAATGGCATCCGAAGGATGATTCGGGCGATGGCCCGGCGCGCTGCCTGCTGCGCGAGGTGCCCTGAGTCGCCACCGAGTCGTTTACAGGGATCCGCGGCGGGGCTGCTTCTGAGCCTGAGGCGCCTTCCCCACCCCCACCGTCCCGCCTCCTGGCCCAAAGGCTCCTTCGGGGAGCGCGTCCCTCCTCTTCCACGGCCTGGGCACAGGTGGCTTCTGCCACCAAGGTCCCCTCACCCACGCTGAGGCGTCAGAAGCTGCGGACACTGCTCGCTTCGGGGCTTTGCTCAGCTGCAGCTGGTGACCTCCAGAGAGGGGGCCTCTGCTGTCCCGCTGGGGTGGATGTTCTGAAGACCGCGAAGGGGGAAGAGACCCACTGAAACCCCGTCTCCCAGCCTCACCTCTGCTGTCTTTCCTCCACCCTCCCTGTCTCCAGAGCTCCGAGTTCAGCATATACAGAAAGCGGCGTGTTCCCTCTCTAGGGAGAGCAGGGCTGGGGGCTGGAGGTCCGGCTGGTCTTGATCTGAGCACTCTCCCAGCCTCCTGGCTTCAGACCCCAGCACGGCGGGGTCCGCTGGCCTGCCCCCTCTTTCCTGCTTCCGGACCCGGCCTGCTGCTTCTTTCTCCTCCCTCCCTCCCTCCCTGCCCTGCAGGGGCTTTCGAAGTAGATTAGAAACCAACAGTGTCCCACATGGAAGCCTCTAGTTCTTCGAGTCAACTTTGACGACGAGGCCCCAGAAAGCCTTTGCCATGCTGTGTGGAATTTTTAAATCCGAGAGCTGGTGTTCGCGCCCTATTTGTCCAGTCTACGTTTCTAGGTTATATTGTGTCACAATTAGTGTCATTTGCTTTTCCTTCTTTTATATTGTGGGGTTTTACTTCTCTGGAGTTGCCAAAAACAAAATTAACCATCTCAGTCCTTGTCGCTAACACAGGAAAAGCATTACTGGGGGAGGGCCCGGTACTGCGGTTGAGCTCAGTTCTGTTCCCGGAGCCCTTATCTGCCACCCACAGATCCAAGGCAGAGTCCAAGGCAGCAGGGCGGGGCGCGGAACGTGCATCTCCACAGCTCGGGCTCAAGGGGACATTGCTGCCTCTGCCTGGGGGCTCTAAAGTTTCATTTTTATATGACCCACAGGGCCCAGACTGACGGAAAATTAGCAGAGCCCTGGGCATGGGCTGCACCTGGCCCTTGTGGGACGATGATGCAAATATTCCTTATTGGCATAACACTGAGCACAGGCTGTGTGACAGTGTGCGGGAGGAACTGCACACATCCTTTCAGAAAAAGTCCATAAAACGGAGAAAACACGGTTCCCAACCTAGATTTTTAACTTGTCGAACAGCTGTCTAAATGGGTCATCTCGGCTACCCTCCACTCAACATGACCACTTCTGCCCCTCCACCACCACCACCACCAGCACCCCCCACCCACCCCCATCTCCTCAGTCTTGGCAGGCCTTCCTCCTACTATTCAGGATGAAATGAAACCCTCAGTCCAGCCTGTACCCCTGCCCCGCCCACCTCATCTCATCTGCCCCCCTCTCAGGCCGGCCAACCTTGCTTCTGGAACAGGTGAGCATGGGTTCCGAAGGCACTTTCTGAGTGTCCTGCAGGTGCCTCCCAAGAGTGGTCAGTGGTCAGTCAGCTAATGAAGCTGTGTAGGATATGACCCTTGTTTACTGCAGAATGGCCAGAGCTGGCAGGATGTCTGAAATGCAGGAGGTGCCCGAAATGTGTTTACTGAGGAAATGATGATGGACAAGAGGAACACAGAGAGCAATGCGGAGAGGGCAAGGGGCCCCTGAGGGGTAAGGGGGGGTGTGGCTGGGAGTGTGTAGAGGAAGAGGGATAATTTCAAGGTTCCCATCTGGGAGAAAATAAAAAGGTTTATAGCTAGCTGAGAGAAAGATGGGAATATGTGAACGTTCTTAAAGAATAAAACATTTAGATGTGTTGATTCCAAATGTGCTCCTACTCCCAGAAGGGTCCAGACAGGGCAGGGCCAGGCCTCGACAGCTCAGAAGGGACAGCTCTTGGGTTTCCCAGCTCTGATGCTTTGCACAGTCAGGGGCCTGTGTGACCTGCCACATTTTAGTGAAGAAACTTGCTGTGGAGCTGGAGAGCTGCAGGTTGAGGCGTGTGTGGTATGAGGGTTAAAAACCTGTGAGAACAGAATGGCTGGCTTTTCAAAAATTTTGTTGGTAGACAGGAAAGATGTGGGAGGTGTTCTTGGAGTGGCCATATGTGGTTTTATTTAACATGGGGAAGACTCAGCAGAAAGGAAAAAGAAACAAGGTAAGTGGACAGCATGAAGAAGAGCACCCAGGAGAGGTTAAATGTGATTTAAAAACCACAGTGCAGACTGTGAGGACCCCAGAAAGGCTTCTGCCAAAACCTGACCAGCAAGTGCCGGCAGCTCCCCTGCCGCCTCTGTCACTTCTTTACACACCTGCAAACCTGCTCTGCTCTCCAAGGCCCTCTCTAGCCCATTTCTCCCCAAAATGGGCCTTCAGAATAACCCTCTGCTGGCCCCTCTGCCTTAGGAATTATTTTCAATAATGGGCCCACCTGGAAGGACATCCGGCGGTTTTCCCTGACCACCCTCCGGAACTATGGGATGGGGAAACAAGGCAACGAGAACCGGATCCAGAGGGAGGCTCACTTCCTGGTGGAGGCACTCAGGAAGACCCAGGGTGTGTATCTGCTGCCCAGCAGGGCCCAGTCCTCATGCAGGCCAGGGGCACCGGGAGCCCCGGCCGGGACCCCTGGACCGCATCTGAACCACAGGGACCTACGGACAAGGAGAGGGTCTCATGAGTCCCCAGACACTGTGTTTACAACTCTAGTTTCCAGACACACAGTTCAGGGAGCAGGTGTAGCCATTAAGCACGTGACTTGTATCCTAAATACTGTCGCAAAGCGAAGAAGACCCAAACAGATTCAGATATTTGCTATCTTTTATAAAGTGCCAGTGTTCAGGGTGCCTTCTCACAGGCCTGGGTGAGCCCCAGCAGGTGACTGAGTGGGTGGAGGAGCCCCTGGGTCTCCTTGCACCCATCCCCTGACGGCCTGGCTGCCTGTTTTGCAGGCCAGCCTTTCGACCCCACCTTCCTCATCGGCTGTGCACCCTGCAACGTCATAGCTGACATCCTCTTCCACAAGCGTTTCGACTACGATGATGAGAAGTTTCTGAGGTTGATGCATTTGTTTAATGAGAACTTCTACCTGCTCAGTACTCCCTGGCTCCAGGTGAAGCCACGTTCCTTTGTCATCAATCGTCAATTGTATACTTTACATTAGAAAAAGAAGGAAAATTCAAGTTATATGTGATAGGGCTGCAAAAGCCAGACAACATAGCTTCAAGGAGAGCCCAAATATTCTTCCCAGAGACATCTCTGGGGTCCTATGCACCCCTTTGGTAACCTTAGGATACGTATCGACCTATGTGTGCACATTTGCACCACAGAATGTGCACTGCTGAGGAGAATGGTGCCCAAGAAGGACACTGTTGACCCAAAGTATTCCAAATCAACAATTATTTCAGCCACAAATTCAGGTCTGGAGAAAGTTGTTGGTCCAACATACACAATTATGTTGCATCCGGAAAAAAACAGTAAAATATTTTTCTCTCTCTAGCTTTACAATAATTTTTCCAGCTATCTACACTACTTGCCTGGAAGCCATAGAAAAGTCATAAGAAATGTGGCTGAAATAAAAGAGTATGTGTCTGAAAGGGTGAAGGAGCACCATCAATCCCTGGACCTCAGCTGGCCCCGGGACCTCACCGACTGCCTGCTGGTGGAAATGGAAAAGGTAGGCTCGGCCCTCCCATGAGGCGGGCTCTCCGGGGTGGGCAGGGAGCGTGCGTTTTGGATCTACAGTGTGACCTGCACTTGCTGGCGTGCATGCCTCCGGCCACAGCACGCTCTCAGTTTCACACACACACTCTTGGCTTCATCATGACCATTGGCACAAGTCAGCTGCCTGGCTGCCAAGCTGGCCTAGTGGTTTGGGTAGCGTGGGTGGGCCCCTTAGCCCCCTCCAGGCCCTGCTGCCCAACCCGTTCTAGTCCACAGACTTTGAGAATTGCATCTTGTCTGAGGAGAAGCCCCCAGCATTCCTTGTGGGCATGTACTCCCCATCTGTGCACAGCTTCAGGACTTCCAGGCCTCCCCAGCTTCATTCACCTGCAGCCCTCAGGATCCCCTGCCCCCTGCCCAGCATGGCGAAGCTTCTTGTCCCCTTGTCTTGTCCTTTTGTGGCTCAAGAACATGTGGATCCACACTGATTTCCGGGGGCTGCCTGGGCATCTCCTCCAGCAGTTTGGCCTCTCACGGCAGCAGACATTAGCCCTGCAGCAGGAGGGGTTAGCCGGAGCTCCTGCCTGAGGTGTGACCAAGGTCAGAGGCATCTCACCTCTTCCAGGATGGCCTGTGTGCTGTTGAGGAAAACAGAGCCCCATCCTGCCTTCAGCAGATTTCCTGAGGCCTCAGTTTCCCTGGCTGTGAGATGGAGATGACCCTGTCTCTCACAGCTCCAAGTCACAGTTCCACTGGGGGGACCTCTTGGACACTGTCTCCTTTGTACCTGTGGACCTGGGAGGTGGCTGGTTCTGTGCTGAAGGGAGACAAGCAGCTCCTTCTCCTCCTGTCTGTCTCTGGCATCACAGGAAAAGCCCAGTGCAGAACCCTTGTACACAATGGACGGTATCACTGTGACCGTGGCCGACCTGTTCTTCGCGGGGACAGAGACCACCAGCACCACTCTGAGATACGGGCTCCTGATTCTCATGAAATACCCTGAGATCGAAGGTATGCAAGTGACCGGCAGGACACTGACAGGTCCGGGGTCAGATGGATGGGTGGATGGTTGGATGGGTGGGTGGGTGGATGGGAGAGTGGATGGCTAGATGGATGGGTGGGTGGGTGGGTGGATGAATGGATGGATGGGTGGGTGGGTGGTGTGTAGGCAGATAGATGGATAAAAGGGTGATTGACTAGATGGGTGGATGTCCAATTGGCCAGGAGCCAATTCCTTAAATTTGTCCCATTCATATCTTGGCAGAGAAGCTCCATGAAGAAATTGACAGGGTGATTGGGCCAAGCCGAGTCCCTGCCGTCAAGGACAGGTTGGAGATGCCCTACATGGACGCTGTGGTGCATGAGATTCAGCGGTTCATCAACCTCGTGCCCTCCAACCTGCCCCATGAAGCAACCCGAGACACCATTTTCAGAGGATACCTCATCCCCAAGGTCAAGCATGAACCTGGAGCACACAGCATGAACACCATCCTATCCGCTCATTGCCTTCCTGCCAGGGAGCAGGATGGGGGCCCAAAGACCCTTCCCCTTGGCAGGGGGCACTGAATGGAGGATCTGGCCCCCACTCCCCCCCTGTGGAGTGCTGCTTTCGCAGCAGTGCTCACATTGGTCTGGTGACCAGACAGGTGGAGGAAATCTGCAAAAGTACCTCAGGGGACAGTCCCTGGGACTCATGAATTCTGATACCGGGAACAAACAATCACAACCAGCCCTGGAGTTAATCTTGTGATTTCGTCTTCATTTAGACCTGACCCCTGACCGCTTTCTATCTAGTCCTTCCCTGAGCAACTCCCTCGGCTGGAAACACGCCACCGTGTATCACACATGCTCACAGCAGCATTCTTCACTGGGGGCTTCCAGATGAAGGCCCACATTTTGTTAACGTGACTCACTGAGACAGTCTGTTTCTTCTAGGGCACAGTCATAATTCCAAATCTGGACTCCGTTTTGTATGACAACCAAGAATTTCCTGATCCAGAAAAGTTTAAGCCAGAACACTTCCTGAGTGAAAATGGGAAGTTCAAGTACAGTGACTATTTCAAGCCATTTTCCGCAGGTGAGAAAGACCAGAGGCAGCACATTCCCTTGAGGAGCAGCCCACACGCCTCGCCTCCACTCCACGTGTGCTCTGCCCTCATCCCAGGCCTGCACTGACACCCGAACCCCCTGTGCCCTGTGTCTATTGACAACGAGACCCACGTGTGCTCTTCCCTATTCAGAGAACGTCCATAACATCTTCTAGCAGCAATCCTGAGAATGAAGTGTCATGGGTGGACTTTTTTCCCAAAAACTAGACATTTCACACCATTCATTGCTAAATTCTGTTTCTATTTTAACAAGACTTAGTGAAAAGATCTCAAAACCATATTACCCAATTCTTCCTAATTTTAAATCAGAGCTGCTAAACAAAATCTAAACTTTGGTTACCTAGAATCATCACAGGAAGCATCAAAGCCTTCCTGGGATGTGACTCAGTGACTCTCTTTGAGGCATTTGTCCTTCCCAGGGCCTCATCTTAGGGATTGCTGTGAGAGAAGATCACACAATCAACTCTATACTTTTAACACCCAATGCTGGAGCCCCAGCTTCGAACAGGGCCCGACTTCCCTCCCGTAGGCATCACTGGTGAACCCCGGGGGTGCCTTCTTTACTGGGCAGAGACGGTCTTCCCAACTTAACATAGGCTCTTGCAGTTGAGCTCTGGATAACTGAAGTTGTATGAAGGCTGGTCTCTAAATAAGTCAATGTCGCTGGTATTCTTCCACTTGAGTGCATTTTGTGCTTCTTTTCATAGGCAGAGGGGGTGGGCCCTGCCTCGTGATGCCATTCGCCTGCAGCCTCCCCTCCCGCTTCCGCCAGCCTCTCTGCTAACAGTGTCGCGTCTCTGAAACTCCCTCAGTGTCTCATCAGTACCATTGTTACTTCCAGGAAAACGGGTGTGTGCTGGAGAAGGCCTGGCTCGCATGGAGTTGTTTCTGTTGTTGTCTGCCATTTTGCAGCATTTTAATTTGAAGTCTCTTGTGAACCCAAAGGATATCGACCTCAGGCCCATAAAGATTGGGTTTGGCCGCATTCCACCACATTACAAACTCTGTGTCATTCCCCGCTCATGAGTGTGAGGAGGACACACTCATTCCTGAGCCCCCCACTTTCAAGCAAGTTTTCAAATTGTTTGAGGTCAGGATTCCTTAAACCTATTCCTTTCTTTGCATATGAATATTTCAAAATAAACATTTTCCTGGAATATAAACAAATCATCACATGATTATTTTACCTGTACATTAAGTCATGGAATATCTTATTTGTTGAAGTGATTCTCACAGAGAAAGGTTTTTATTTGCTTGCTTTTTTGAGATGGAGTTTCGCTCTTATTGCCCAGCCCAGAGTGCAGTGGCTCGATCTTGGCTCACTGCAATCTCCGCCTCCTGGGTTCAAATGATTCTACTGCCTCAGCCTCCCGAGTAGCTGGAATTATAGGCGCATGCCACTACGCTCGGCTAATTTTTTGTATTTTTAGTAGAGATGGGGTTTCACCATGTTGGTCAGGCTGGTTTGGAACCCCTGATCTCAGGTGATCCACCCACCTCAGCCTCCCAAAGTGCTGGGATTACAGGCCTGAGCCAATGTGCCTGGCCACAGAGAGGTTTTAAATATAACCTTCATATTATTGAGAAGCTCTTAAATCTAGGATCACATCACTCCAGTGTCAGAAACATATTGAGGTGGGGAATTTGTATTAGTCAGTTTTCTCTGCAGGGGCAGAACCAATAGGACAGATGTATACATGCTGGAGTTTATTAGGAGAATTGACTCACACTGTCACAAGGTGAAGTCACACAACAGGCTGTCTGCAAGCTGAGGAGTGGACAAGCCAGTATGAATACCAAAACCTCAGAGGTAGGGAAGCCGATAGGGTAGCCTTCAGTCTGTGGCCGAAGGTCCAAGAGTGGTGTAAGCCCAAGAGTCCAAAAGCTGAAGAACTTGGAGTCTGAGGTTTGAGGGCAGGAAGCGTCCAGCTGGGAGAAAGACAAAGGCCAGGAGACTCAGCACGTCTGCTCTTCCAGCTTCTCCTGCCTGCTTTATTCTGGCCCCACTGGCAGCTGATTAGATGATGCCTACCCAGACTGAGAGTGGGTCTGTCTCTCCCCGTCCACTGACTCAAGTGCTAATCTCCTTTGGCCACACCCTCACAGATACACCCAGGAATAACACTTTGCGTCCTTCAGTTCGATCAAGTTGACACTCAGTATTAACATCACAGAATTGCGTGAGTGCAAGGGCGAATTTCCCTTCTTACTCTGTTATCTCAGCACGGGCTTCAAATGGGAACATTGGTAGGTGCTGACCCTTAACACTTACAGGATATTACTTTGTTAAGGTATAAAAGCCTCTAGTTAAAGGCTCTCATATGACTTTAAATGAGATAAAAGTTTAATTCCGAAATCCACAAAACTCAATTAATTAAACCCTGTTACAATAATCTCAGTGGAATCTTTCTAATCTCAAATTGGTTCCCTAACTGACCACATTCTGTTCTTTGAAGTATATAGCTACACAAGTACTTTGCTTTGCCTGTATTTGGAATATCTTCCCCAAACCTAAATGTGAGAATTTAACTGCTTCCTTTGTATAAGAATTGTTTCCTGTGTTTTTCTTTGTACACTAAACTTCCTGAGGCCAGGGTCACATTTTCTCTTAAACTCCAAGGATGGAATAAAGGGTTGGTGCACTGCAGATTTACAATGAATGCAATTTTATTCTGAAAAAAAAGTAAAAATTTTAAAAAAGTGCAACACAAGTTGAACTTTAAAAATTTGAAATAAGAAAAAAGAAGGAAATAAAAAATACAAAAAGAAACAGAAAAAAATGAAAAGTGTCCAAAGCCCACCACTCATAGGCCACTCCCATGCAGTGCCTGCCCTCTGATATTTAGGTTTGCAGATGACATAATTGTCATTGTTTCAAAAATGAAATCATTCTACACATGCTACTTAATTTCTTTATTCTTTTAGCAACGATTGCCCATGGCATTAGCTTTTTTTCTGTAATGTTTTAAACTTTTTTATTGTAAATTATTTCACATATGAAGACAAGTATAAGATAAATATAACAAACACCTGTGTACCTACCATCTAGCTTTATCAAATTTTGATATTCGCCAGATTTATATCAGATTTTCTGAGGAAACAAATTATTACAAATATAGGTAGAGACCCTTTATGTCAATGCCGACCAGGAGAGCACAAGCTTGCTTCTCCCATGCTGATTTTTCATTGACAAACCTCGAAGCTTTGGGCCATTTTCCAAGTAGGAGCATTATGCTAGTATTTTACTTGCATTTCCCTGATGGGTAGTGCCGTTGAACACGTCTCCATGTGTTTATCGGTCTTGGAGCTTTTATGTTGTGTGAGTTACCTCTTCAAATCTTGGTCTGTAATTAGTATTGAGTTCTTTATCATTGTGAATTTGCAGGAGATTATTATAAATTATGGATACTAATCCTCTATTGTCATGTATATAGAATTATAATCTCTTTACCTTATCCGTGGCTTATATTTTAATGGCACTTACAATTTTATTTAACCAAAACATTCCATTTTAATGTAGCGAATGACTTTGTTTGGTGCTCAGCTTTAGGCATTTTCTCTATCTTTGCATAATTAAAACACCCTCCTGTACTTTCTTTTGTTTTTAGTCTTTCCTCATCACGTTTAGGTGTTAATATTATATGGTGTGAGGTGGTGTGTTAGATTTCTTAAATAGCCACAAATTCTCTTTCAACGCTGCTGACCCTTCAGCCTGGTCTGGCCACTCTGTCTGCTCCCTGAGCTGTTGGCCAGCCTCCCTGGCAGCTCCTGGACTTAGGCCATGCCTTTGCCAAGCTCCTGTCTCCATCTGGAGCTTCCCATAGAAGACCCCTGCCACAAAGACTTACTGCAAAGGAGCTCAATGCAAAGGAAATGGGAAAGCAGCATCCCCTTCTCAGGACCCCCAGACCTCTCAAAATAAGGAAAGCTCTGTGGGTCCATGCTCTGCCGCCTGCTATGTATTTAATTTTTAGACATGAGACTTCCTCCTCATTTTATTTCCTGTCTTTTAAAATTTAATGTATATATTTAAGGTATACAACATGATAGGACATGTAGTAAAATAACTACTAAAAGCAACAAGGAGACGCATGGTGCCAGTTGACCCGTGTTTTCCATAATCAAGCAACGGTCTTGTCTCCTAGAAGTGTGAGCGGGAGGGAGGAGTGTGGGCTGACTTCATGCTGGCCAGTGACCCTGGCGCCCTGAGAGAGGAGGGGAGGCCGTCGGGGGGACCATTGCTTTCTTCAGATCCCTTCCCATCATTTCGTCTGTTAAAATGAGGGTGTGTTATTTACAAAGCTTGAGAAAGAACAGAAAAAAGGCATTCTTTTCTCATGTGAAACATTGGCTTGAATATCCTGACATCCAATCTGTTAAACTGATACATGATTTAGGGAAACATATCCAGTAAGTTAATGTGTTCATTCTGTTATTTTGGAAATTGACCACATCAATTGAGAGCTCTCAGGAATCCCAAAGATGCTTCATCTAAGATAAATATTCCAGTAGAAAACTTGGCAACTAATAGTTTAAAAATAAATATGAAGAGCTAATAAAACCAAAAATATTAACATTGTTGATAACCAAAAAAAGAAGCCAATTAAAACAAGGCAGTAGCCAGTCATGGGCTGAGTGCGAGTACCTTCCCTGCTGAGGAAAGAGCTGCTGCCCAGGGCTGGGGTGGGAGGAGCCTGAGGGGGAAGATCCAGGGGTGGGAGGTTTGGGACATGTACTTCCCTGTCCAAGGGGAGAGGCATTGAACTGGACACCCCCAGGAGTCCAAAGTGAAGCTGACGTCAGCCTACGGCCCCGAATTTCATGGAGATCATCCAAACACAGAGAACAACCGAAGTTCAAGTACGGCTGCAGTTTGTGACCTGGCCGTGGTGTGGTGGGAAGTGCTGGGGAAGCCAAGAACCAGCCAGGAAGAGGAGAGGCCAGAGAAGCCCTGAGCCACAGGGCACGTTCAGGAGTGGGGCTGAGTGCTGAGTGCAAGGAGGTCACAGGATACACAGGACAGGCAGGTAAGGTCCAGGCCAGGCAGGGTCGTGGAGGTCTCTCTAGGGTTTCCAGATTTTACCCTCAGCACCCTGGGAACCCATTGAAGGCTTTTAAACAGGTGAAGGAAACGGCATGACTTCTGTCATGAAGTGGGTCCTAAGTAAATGTGCGCCACTGAGATGGGCAAGAGGCCCAGTGGAGCGGGGAGCGGAGAGCTCAGGCCCAAGGGGAGGGTGAGGGCAGGAAGGGAGAAGCAGGTGCCAGAGGTGGGGCCCAGATTTCCAGCTGGAGCTGCCAGCTCCTGATATGAAGATCAGGCCCCCTCTACGAGGGCTGGTGTGTTTCCCCCTCACTGCACTCCCAGGGTGTAGCTCAGAACACTTAACAGAGATCTTCTTCCTGGAAAGCCTCACATTCCTGCTTTTTCGCCTGAGGCCTCTGAAACTGCTGATAGCTCTGTTGAGATTTTCTCTCTCATCTGTGCTTTTTTGAATCAGTAAATGCTTCTAAGGAAAGTGTCCCTACAACCCCTCATTCCCTTGCTAGGCTTACAATGCGTTCATACAGGTTCTTACATACATTGCATGCAGCGTTTCCACCTCATCTTAGCAGGATAGCTACTCTGAATCACCTAGCCCATCACTGATAGAAATAGAACAGGGGTCATCCAATTTTTAATGTTTAAAAAATCTTCTTTATGAATTGCTTCTCTTTATAGACTCTTATTATTTTTGCTAAGGTCCTAAGTTCCTGTTAAATCAGTCTGAGGATATTACAGTATTCTCCCCATGTCTGAGATCATGGATAGCACCAAATCTGCATATACTATGGTTTTTTTCTATACATAAATAGCTATGATTAAATTTAATGTATAAGTTAGACAGAAAGAGATTATGCTGGATATTGTTGAAGTTGTTCTATTCTATTAGCTATTGTTAATTTCTCCCTGTCTACTCCTTGGGGACATTATTAAGTAGAATAAGAGTTACCTGAGCACAAGCACAGCAGCAGTTGAGCTGGTAACTGAGACAGCTCCTAAAGGACACACAGGCAGGAAGTGCGCTCAACAGGGACATGTGGACAACATCCAGGGCGAGGTGCAGCAGGAGGGCAGAGACTTCTTCACAGTGCTCAGAACAGCACGCAACTTACAACTTATG